CTCCACTGCAGGGCTGGCCCAGGAGGGATGTCAAAGCTCAGAGCAGGCACTTTGTCTTGGCAGCTTCTTGGGAGGCAGGTTTGACGGCAGCTTTCCTTCGGGGCTAAGCTTTCAAAGGGCAGGCTTAGTTTGCAGAACCAAACACCCAGGAGAAATGGGAAGGGTCTTTCAGAATTAGTCAGACACCTGGCTTCAAATTCCACTGCACTTCAGACGGCTTCCTTGTCTGTCATTCCCCAGGATCATTAGCCTGGTATCAGTCTCAACAGCAAACAGCATTTCGTTCCCTTGGGCCAGCGGAAAGCCCAAGTGGGAGAGGCCAGGAAGGTATCAGGAAAATCAGCAAGGGCTCTTGTCACACCTTGAATCCAGCAGCAGAATGGAAGAATCAGGGAAGGGACTGGCCCTTGGAGAGCCCAAGCTGTGGGGGAGGGGCTGCTGCTAATCCTGGGGACAGCCGCTGCCCAGTCAGCCCCCAAAGCAGGAGGGAGCAGAGAAGAGATCCTTCCCTTCTCTCCTCTGCCCTCCCCAGTGGCCAAACCCAACCAGAAACCAGTTGGGAAGGGAACCAGGAGATACAGTTAACAAGGTCACATCATTCTGGGGCTCAGAGTTGGGTGGAGAGTGGATATCTGGGTAGAGGTAGGAAATGCAGACTGGCCAGCATGTCACCACTGGTTTCATTATAAGGACCTAAAATGAGGTAGGTAAATTGCTTAGTATGTAACCCCATGCATAGTAGGATCTCAGCAAACAGAAGCTGTTTTATGCTCTTCCTGTTTACAATTAGGATCTGGGATGCAGTATACATCCTCTGAGGTTTGTCACACAAAGATCCCATTAAGTACCCCTTGGATGCCTCATGAATGCTGTGCATTTGTGGAGATACCGTGATGTGACCCCAAGACTTCTCCCCTGAGACAAGGCAGAAGGTAGCAGGGTCCCAAGAGTGACTCTGTCCCCTTGGCTGCAAGTTCCTTCAAGGCCAAGACACAGCAGCTTCTAGGTCTCTTGCTTTCTTTTTTAAAGATTTTTTAAAAAGCTCTTTCTTTTCCCAGTAAGATTCTAGTTAAAATATATGCCTTTTGTAGAAAATATGGATCTTGCAGAAAAGCATAAAGAGAATGAAAATTGCCTCTCTGCCCTCTCCAGGGCTAAGTGTGGTTAGTATTTTTGTGAATATCCCTGCTACTGTGCATTGTTTGTAGAGTTGGTCTCATACTAGATAAGGCAATTTCATATCCTGGTGGGGCTTTTGGGGGGGGGGTTCTTTTTTAAATTTTTTTTCATAAGCATTGAAATCATATCAAAAATACCTTTTAATGGTTTCATAAGAGTAAATCACACGGTTGGGCATATGAACTCAGAATCAGCAGACTAACTTCTGATCACAGCATTACCCGTTACTAGCCACATGACAGTAGGCTAGTGACCTAACTTTATAAAATGACGTAGGAGAGAAGATAAAGTGAGCATCTTATAAAGTGTTGTAAAGAGAAGTGAGATAATCATGTGAGGCATCTAGCTCTGTATCTGTGACATAGTAAAATACTAAATGGTCATTATCAAAATTGTCACTATTAGTTAGGTGTGGTGGCATGTGCCTCTAGTCCCAGCTATTTGGGAGGCTGAGGTAGGAGGACAGCTTGAGCCCAGGAGTTTGGAGCCAGCCTGGGCAACATAGCAAGACCCCATCTCAAAAAAAAAGAATTGTCATTATCAGTTCATAGCCACTCTTCTATGACTGAATATTTAGGGTGTTCTGGTATATTTTAAAATAAATAATTGTTATGACATTTTTAAATTTACATCTCTTTTCACATTTCAACTTTTTCTTTAGGGGATATAAAACTATAGGTCCTGGGTATAGACATTTAAAGTTCAAGTTCTGCAACTAGGCTGCCTGGGTTTACTTCCCAGTTATGTTGCTTATAATTAACTGTGTGATCCTCAAAAAGGCACTGTGTGCTTCAGTGTCCTCTAAAATGAAATAAGATAGTGTCAGTTGTTGTGGGGGTTAAATGAGATAATAGATGCAAAGCATCTGGCAAAAAGTAAATACATATATAAGAGCCCACATTGTTATGCTTACTACCAATTATACAGTGTCAGTTGTTCATCTCCAATAGCCCAATAGCACTGGGCTGAGCACACAGTAGACTTCCAACTGGTATGTTTATTAGACTTAATTGAAGGCCTATGTTTGTGGGGTCCTTGAGTGCTCTGGAATATGCCCTGCCTCCTTTAGAAGCCAGTCCTCCCACCAGGTTGTGTCCACACCCTACCTGGTTCCACCCTGACCCCTCTAGCCTATGTCTTTGGAAGGACCTTTCCTTTTGTCTGAGTTCAACTTATTACACTGTTCTCTTGTTCCTTGACCCCCGAATGGTGTAAGACCTCTCTGGAGGTTTCTGGGATGAACGCCTCCCCCAGGGTTCAGGGGCCTTTCCTGGCATGTGACCCCTCAGCACCTCTCTTATTTCTTGCCCCAGCCTTTGGTGACATCTTGAGTCATTAGGCTACTTTGTTCAGGCTCAAGAATTTGAGCACTTACTTGTCCAGGGCTCCGTGCTGGGTGCCAGACATTACCCAGGCTAGCTCTTTTCTCAGCGTAATGCTCATGGCGTACAAATGAACTCTTAGTGGTTGGTATTTGTTATCAACATAAATAAACATTTGATGCTTCAGAAACAGCCCCTTAAGTAAACCTAGAGATAGCATCTGTAGGCGCATGAGCAAATCTGCCACAAAATCCAAACAGGAAGATAGTTTATGCCCAAGGGTAGGATTGGGTAAAGCGTCTAGAGGCCCAGCAACGTTTGCACCCCAGGATAGAGCCAGTGTGCTGAAATAGCACTGCCAGGCTTGTGTGGCTGCCAAGATGACGTGATTCCACATGCTAGGCATAAGGGAGGGACGGTCAAGGGGCTGGTTACCATAATCTAAGCTTTCCAAAAGGAAACTACAACAAAGCTGGAAGCTCAGCTGTTAAATCCTCAGAAGTAATTTCCATCTTGCTCAAAGTTAGTACACATCCTGGTACGTCACTGCCAAGCAAACTGCTAGTTTACGCCTCAAAAGTTTGTTAAGCACCTACTATATACAAAGCATCATATTAGGATTGGTGGGTTAATCTTTCTCTAGAATTGGAAAGGCAAATACACACAAGCACACCATAAATCTCCTATCCTTTGCCCCACTTCCCAAGAGTGAACATGGCTTCAGAATCCATCTCAAACTAGGGCTCCAGGCAGTCACCACTAACAAATAGAGTTGATATGTCATACTAAACCTGTGGCCATCTTGGAGCTGGACCACTGGTGACAAGCAGTTTATGGAGACAGTAAGACAAAGGCCAAGCAGTGATCATCTATTTGAAAATGAAGTGGGATTTTTTTTTTCCTATTTGTAGTACTGGAGATTGAACCCAGGGGTGCTCTACCACTGAGCTACACCCCTAGGTAAGTTGCCCAGACTGGCCTTGAATTTACAATCCTGCCACCTCAGCTTCCCAAGCAGCTAGGATTGCAGGCATGCACCACTGTGCCAAGTCTAAATGGTGTGATTTTGATAAAGTCCCACAGCCAATTACAGTGGAAAGAGAAAAGAGAAAGGAAGGAAGAAAGGGAGGGGGGAAGGGAATGAGGGAAGAAGGAAGGGAGGGAGGGGGGAACCCCCACAGCTGGTTGGTGTGATGATACAGGCTAACCCAGAGCCCCTTGGAGACTTCCAATAGGCTAAGGGCAGTTATGAGCTCAGACTTTGCTATGTGACCTTGAGCAAGCCACTTCATCCTTTCTGAGCCCCAGTTTTCTTATTCATAAAATAGAGACAATAATAACAATGCCCACATACAGGCTTGTCATGAGGAGTACCTGGGATGATGCAGCAGCTAGTATTTAGCAATGACTGTCTTCTAGTAAACTATTTGCTTTTGTTAATTAAATGTAGACTGTCTTTAGATAAGAAAGAATGAAATAAATGACCCTCTTTCAACAACCTAGTGGAAGGACATACTGGACAGTAAGTTGGTAAGACAGACAACCGTAAGCCCAGGTTTTAGAACTAGAGTCTCCTTGTTTCCATTGGGAAGCATGCTCGTTGAACTCCACAGAGTATGGCCAGGAAGTGCCCAGAATACACAGATGTGGTCATTAGGGCCTACATTTCTTAGCTGGGTTCTGCCCCATCCTGAAACAAACCTCATAAGACAAACACAAAACTGTAAAACAGGCTGGGCATGGTGGTACACACCTGTAATCCCAGCAGCTCAGGAGGCTGATGCAGGAGGATCGCAAGTTCAAAGCCAGCCTCAGCAAAACCAAGGTGCTAAACAACTCAGTGAAACCAGGTCTCTAAATAAAATAAAAATAGGCTGGTGATGTGGCTCAGTGGTTGAGTGTCCCTGAGTTCAATCCCTGGTACCACCTCCCCCCCCAAAAAAGTGTAAAACAGCAGTGTGTTTTCTTTCATATTGCCTTTATCAGGGACTCTTGCCAATGACATAAAATATTCTAGCAGACTTGCATCCAGAAATCAATGAGAATGCCAAATATCATACCCCTGGACTCTATTCTGCAATTTTTTGTTGGGCAATACTTACCTTTTATCTTTTCATTTTGTAGTGCTGGGGACTACATGAGACCCTGAGTGCTGGGGACTACATGAGACTACATGAGACCCTGAACCCAGGGTCTCATGCATATTAGGCAAGCACTTTACCACTGAACTACACCCCCAACCCCTTATCATTACTATATTGTAAACACAATGTAAGTCCTGTGCAGAAATTTAGGATAAACAGAGAAGAAGAGAGAAGAAGATAAAAAGCATTCTCAACTCTACCTTTCAGGGGGAAAAAACATCATCAACATTTGCAATGTCTATAAATCCAAACTTTTTAGCATTTTTAAATTTTAGGAAATATGAGATTTTTAAAAATTAAAACGTCTTGCTTAACCTCTCCGCCACAGATATACACTCTCTCTCTCTTTCACTAGTTTATCATTACCAGTTCAAGATCCAGTTCATCAACCAAATTGAGAAACCAGTAGAACCAACTTTCACCATGTCGCTCCTCGGAACAAAAGAGGAAAGGCAGAAAATTCCCATCACTCTGTGAGTACGAGGTGCCCTCCAGCCTGCTGTGGGGGTGACATGCCTGTTTTTCTCACATGATCTGGATGGACTTTGCTTTTCAAGGATCAAGCCAGACACAAATTTCTCTTCTCTTCACATTACGGCAGCTCCAAACACCCTGTCCAATATGACATTCACCCAACCTAGCCCCTTGAGGCCCTCCTCTGCTTGTACATGTGACCCTGCTAATGTCCTGTGAGCTAAGAGGAAAGCCAGAGGTAGCCCCCCAAGAATGTGCAGTGAAAGAGGCAGATCCAGACAAGGAGCAGTGGCAAGGGATGGAGCAGATGTCCAAAAGAAGGCCCAGAACACCCTATGGTGAGTTCTGGAAAGCATAGCCCAGAAATGAAATCATATCATTCAATTTAGTGCAGATTTCCGGTCTCAATAAGCCTGTAGTGCCCGTCCCCACCACACGTCTGTCCTTCGACCTGCTATACACTGCACACAACACCAGCAGCAGCCTCACTGGGCCTCACTTAGAGACTCCCCAGCTTCATTAGTCAGAATGCACAACGCTGTTTTTTTCCGGCATCTTGACTCTGGGCATGGACTTCCCTGAGAAATGACAGTAGCCCTCACCCACTCCAGGGATAGGCCTCAGATTGCTGAAGATTGCCCCAAGGCTCGGGTCTCTGGAGGGCACACTGATTCAGTCATTCAGCAAGCACGTGGTGCTCTGCCACAGAGGAAGAGAGGACCCCCTTAGGATGCTGATGGCCAAGCAGGATGAGGGGACTCCCATATATGCACAGCAGACCACAGAAGAGCTAGGATGAGCCATGCCATCCATCTGCATCACCCTAAATCCAGCATTACCTCGGCACTGTATATTGTCTCTCCCCCAGGGGATTGTTCTCAATGGTGAAAAGAGCATCTAGCTGCTCTGTCAATGTTGAGATATCTTAATGTCTTAGAGATTAGTGATTAAAGCTGCTAATGAGGCCTCAAAGTCTGCATCTAAATCTTGCTCTAAATTGGTGCATGCTTTTTCTATTTGGTTTTGCTATTACTGTTATGCTTTGTTGCTTTAAAAGATGTTTCCATTTGTATGGGGAGAGGAGAACATTGCTGGGGAGAGAAGAATATGGTGTGGGTGTCTGCATTCATCATCCACATAGAGCTACACTGTCCAGAGACCACTGCTGAAGCCACACAGTCTTCCCAGATTTCTACCTTTTGCGCTACAGAAAGTTAACTAGATTCATGGTAGCAGGACTTTTTAATATGTTAATTCAGAGAATAATGTGATTTTCCCAACTATACTATCTGGAAAGCCCTTTTTATCCTGCCATGCCCATTGCCATCTCCATTAAGCCACAAGTCCTTCAGGCCACTTGACGCATCCTGAATGAGCCCTAAGCATCATTTCACTGTTACAACCAAACTAACGGTCCGGTTTCTTTTGCATCTTCAGGGGTGAAGGAATTATTAGTAATAAAACCTATTCCTTTCTCATCACGTTGGATTTGGACATTGGTGAGCTGATCATGATCAGGTTCAAGTGGGAAAATAGTGCTGTGTGGGCCAACATCTGGAACACAGTCCAGACCATCATCCCATGGGGCACAAAGCCCCACTATTCAGGCCTTGTTCTGAAGACCATCAGAGTCAAAGCCGGAGAAACGCAGCAAAGGTGAGGACCGGTGCTACCTCCTTGTAACTAACGTATTTAGCACCCACATGTGCCAGGCAGTTTCACAGTTCAGCAGCACCTTTAGTGAATGCAGTGGGCATGATGATGCCTAATGACAGAGAGTGGATACTCAGGAAGGTGAAGTGCCATTCCCAGGTCACACAGCTACAGCTGGAAGAGCAAGGATTTGTACTGAGGTCTTCTGACAACTTGTCTAGCCTCTTTCTGATACCCATGGTTAACAGGTACCTCCCTCTGGAGTTTGAGCATGTTCTCACTAGCCTAGAGCTTCTCAAACTTCATTGTCCAGATGGATCATCAGGTGAAGTCAGTGTTGCTGGTCCAAGGTGCTGCTAGTAGATACATTTCTTGTTTGTTGTTGATGTAGAAAAATGCTTTCAACAATTACAATTTACCTCTCTCTCAGTGGTGATACCTTTCAAATCTTAGATGCCAAAGAATCACTGGGAAGCTTATTAAATATCCACAATTCCTGGTCCTACCTTCGGGGTTTTTGACTCACTGTGGTTTTGGGAAGGACACAGATTGCATTTTTTTAAAAAAGATCCCTAAGAAATTCTAACGGGAACAAATAGACTACCATTAAGAAATGCAGAAATAAATGTGATTTATCATCTCTCCAGGCCCCAAAATCCCCAGGCACAAAAATGGATTAGAGCCGAGAGTGGGGAGTAAAGAAAAGGAAGGGTGGTCCAGCTGCTCCTACAGCCTTCTTTGCAGAGGAAAGAGAAGCCCAACACATTTTGCCATGGCAACCATGCTTTTCTGTATTCTCAGTGACAGGACAATTTTGTGCTTCCCCAGGCCCTTCCCTATCTCTGCCCTTCTGTATCTGAGAAACTTGTCTCTTCCCTCCTGCTTTCCTTTGTTGGGAAGCCCATTTCTCTCTTTGGCTTGTCTTTCGTGGAGATGGAAAACAGACTTCTAACCTCTGCACTCCACACCTCCTTCAGCCTCGGGTTTCACTGCCAGGAGCCGGCACATGGCAGATTTATGCCCCTTGGGTCCCTTATACAACCGCACTCAGAGATTTTATCTCCCTGGGATGCAAAATCCTGGCAATTACTAAGAGCATACTCTGTGGTCTGCCAACAGATTTCTCCACATGATCAATCTGAGAAAATTAAACTGCTTCTCTTAACTGTTCTTGCATGACTTTTTGGCCCTTTGGAGCAATGCTACTTCTGAGCGTTCTCCCTCCCTACATTCTCTTAACTAGAAAGTCATTCCTCTGTTGTGGTGGCTGTTCACCACGGTAATTCTGAGTGCCTTGCCCTGCAATTTGCACTGGTGCACACCTCTGCTGTATTGAAGAAGGAAAGAGAGGAGGGAGGGAAGAGGCTGGCACCTAGAGAACAGCCACAGCATGGTGGGCATTGAACAAAGTGCTCCGTGACATTAATCCCACACAGCCTTCCCAAAGTCTCTGACCTAGGTAGCACTGGCTATATAGATTAGGAACCCGAGACCCACAGAAGTCACATGGCCTGACATGTTGAAAATGGTTGTTCCAGCCCAGATGTGCCTCAGGTTTGTCTGATTCATTGTCTGTTTGTCACCCGTGCACTGTTTCCAACAGCAAGCTCCTCCATTAGTCTTGGTCAAATTAATCTGACTTTCCTTAATCTAATTTAGCAGAGATACAATTCTGGACATTGATATATAAGTTCATCAAACCCTCAGGCTTTTAGGAGGTATGTACTTGAAAGGGGAGGGGTCCCAGGGCTACGAGTACTGTAGTTTTTCAAGCTATAATACCGAGTGCCTTCTATGTGCACCAGATGCCATTGGGGAAAAAAAAAAAAAAAATATATATATATATATATATATATATATAAATGAATTGTGACTCTTGGCATGAAGAAGGAAACTCCAGGACATAATTAGGAAAAACAAGAATACTTATTTTTACTAATGGTATGCTCTATCCCAAGGCTTCTTAAATTTTAATGTGTATATAAATTATCTGGAAATTATATCTAAATGCAGATTCTGACTCAGTGGGTCTAGGTGGGGCCTGACAGTCTGCATTTCTAACAGTTCCCAGGAGATGCTGCTGCCGCTGCTGCTGGTCAGTAGACCATACTTTGAGTAGCAAGTATCCAGCATTGCATAACCTAGGAAGTCTAAGAAGAAAGACAGTTTAGATTGGGGCTGTTGGAGCTGTGCTGTGAGAGGCTTTAAGGCCAAGGGGCACCTCCAGGAGAAAGGCAGCGAGTTAAGAAATATAATAGGCAGAATCAAAAAATGTCTGCATCAGCCTATCCTAAACCTAAATTTTTACCTCACTGCTTACCACTGACATAGTCCCAAATAATAGCTTCACCTCTTTGAGATTCGGTTCTTTGATAACAAATGAGAAGGAATAAAGTGTATCCCATGAGACTAATAGAAACTACCAATTTTTCAGTACCTTTTGAAAACCAAAATTTAGAGTCAGGACACAAACATTCAGCCCTATACTGTTAGTCACTCTACTAACTACAAGGGAAAAAAAATAAGTTGGTTAAGTAACTTGCTCAGAGCCTGCATGGGAGAATGTTTTTCCCCAAAGGCACAACCAGGGATGAATGACCAAGGTTATGTAGTAGGCTGAAGAGAAAGATCAGAAAGTGTTGCTCTACAGCAAGATATAAGTTAATTGCTTGAACATAATGAGAAAAAAATGTTCAATTTCCACAGTAATCATATCAATGTAAAGCAAAAAAAATCAATGAAATTATCAGTGGTCACCCATAAATTTGGCAGGAATTAAAAGAGGGATAAGATCCAGAATTGATGAAAGTGTATAAAAACAGACATTCTCAAAAACTATTAATGGAAATTCATATTACAGAAGCTTTGCAGGGAAATTTCATTCAACTAATGTTCAGTGAGCACCTACCTGCACAGGCGCTGTAATGGGCAGCAGGCACATCACAGGCAGCAGAACTAAGTCCTTGGTCTCATGGAACTTATATTATCAAAATTTTAAATAGGTATAATACCCCAGATTTTACTTCTAGGTATCTATACTTCCAGTGTACATAATAAAAATGTACACAAGAATATATGCATACAAAACAAAATTTGTTGCAGTGCTATTTGTAAATATTGAGAAAATATCAATGCCCATCAATAGGAAAATACTTAATGTCTTCCGGTATATCTTAATGTCTTATATTATATAAGACATTAAGTACTTAATGTCTTGTATGGTATACTCATTCAATGGAATGTTGTGCAGCAGCTAAAAAAAGAACAAAATAGACTTATATGTATGATAGGTACAGGTCTCTGAGTATATTATGTGATGACAAGGAAAAATTGCAGAATATATAAGCAGTATAACCCCACTTCTACATTTAAAACTCTACATTTGCATGTGAACATTGATATATATAAAAATAGGTCTATAAAGACCTAAACCAGACCATGAATGTAAGGAGGGCAGTGATGTTAGTGAAAGGTGATGATGAAGAGGGTCTTTAATATTTGACATCATATATTTCTCTACAATTTTGATTTCTCAGGAATGCATTCATAAATTACTCATCTCGCCCTTTTAGTTTAAAGAGTCTGATTTAGTAAATATTTGACCTCAGATGCAATCTAAGCTATAACTACAATTCTCTATGACTACTAATTAGATAGATATTTAGATAGATGATAGATAGATAGATAGATAGATAGATAGATAGATAGATAGATAATACAATTGAAGTTAATACAAAATGGCATCCTCAGGCCAATGTAGTGGTCAAAGAAGGGTAGCAGTTGATGTCCAAAACAGACCCAAAACACATGTCCAGTTCTCTTTAGCTGGACAGTTTTTGCACCAATAAGAGGAAGGGGCAGAGTGATAGGGCTGAGCTAGGCAGAGGCTTATGGTGAAGGCTGATGACCGTGGCCTCACACCAAGGACCTTTAAGAATGGTGTGAATAAATTGAAGCAAGTCCAAAGAAGGAAAGCTGGGAGTTAAGCCTGCCTTTGGAGCAATCCTTGAGGAACTGTGAATGTTTGCCCTGGAGTAAGGGCAAAGCAGTGAAAGAAACAACAGTCACCCTCAAACCTTTGATGAGCTGCTACAAAGAAGAACAAAGGAAGGCTGCCCCTAGGGCTTTCAGTTCTTTCAGAACCAAGATCGCCCCAGTACAGAGTCCCGGGAAGCTTACACTGATTGCTTTCACTGACTTAGGTTTTGTTTCTCTCTGAAGTTATGAAAATATCTTCAAACACTGGGAACTAGTAGAAGAAAGTACATCACAAGCATTACCCAACTTGAGCAGCATTTGATAAAGGAGGAACCACTTCAATAAGTACCATCTAAAACTTAATGCTGTTTGTTTTGTGTTTTCTATTCAGAATGACATTTTGCTCAGAAATCACAGATGATCTACAACTTCACCCAACGCAGGAGAAAACCTTTGTGAAGTGCGAAGTAAACTCTAAAAAATCAAAGCGAAAGATCAGATGAGCTTGATAAAACCCAGTGTAAAGAATAAATGAATCTTATTCCTTATCTGGATTGGTCACCTTATTTTGAAACCAAAAATTACATGAAGAATCTTGCATGAATCTAAATAAAGCTTAGATCTAAAGGGGGCCATGTTTCCCTATTGTAAACAGAGCTTTAAAAACTATATTATACAACTATTTTTGAACAACTAAAAGTCTCCCAATTTTATGTCTACTTAAATGCTAATATATGCAAATGAGTACAAATGTAAGAGCATTTTAGACCTGTTACTCTAATTTACAATTAAGTCAAATTTCCAATATTTCCTTGCAAGTTTATCCTGATCAGTTTTTAAACCAGGCTGGAAAAATACTTCTTTGTTACATAACTATTACGTCAATAAAATAATTTTAATTAACCACTACTTGTGTATAACACATACACACTCTTGAAGACTAAATACAGCTCACTAAAAGGAAAAAAATTCTAATTAAACTAATAGATGTATCATAAAAATCACACAATGATTCCACTGAATCAAACACACAGAAGTAGAATGCTACTAAAATTGCTAGTGATAAGTGGGAAAATTGGACAGCTGGCCATTTAAATTATTAAGGTACTAATTAAATAAATATAATTCTCCTCTTTTTATGTACTCTAAAAAATTTATTGGTGCATTACAATCATATGTAACAGTATAATTTATTATGCCATATTTATATATGCACATAATTCATTCAATCTCCTTCCCCAGTACCTTTCCTTTCCCTCCCCTTCCCCAGCCACTTACTCTTCTGACCTTCCTTCTATTATTTTTTTACCTTTTTAATTTTTTATTTGTTTTAATTAGTTATACATGACAGTAGAATGCATCTATGCACTTTGATATATCATACCCAGACGGGATATAACTTCTCATTTTTCTGAGTGTACATGTTGTAGAATCACATTGGTCAGGCAGTCACATATAATGTCTGTAATAATGTAAGTAATAATGTCTTTTTCATTTTACTATCTTTCCTATCCCCATATCCCCTCCCCTCTCCTCCCTTCACTTCCCTCTACCTAATCTAAAATAACGCTATTCTTCTCTAGTGCCCTCTGCCTTATTGTGAATTAGCATCCTCATATTAGAGAAAACATTCGGCCTTTGTTTTTTGGGGATTGGCTTATTTTGCTTAGCATGATATTCTCCAACTCTGTCTATTTACTGGCGAATGCCATAATAATTTTCATTCTCCTTTAAAGCTGAATATATATATATATATATATATATATATATTACATTTTCTTTATCCATTAATCTATTGAAGGACATCTAGGTTGGTTCCATAGTTTAGCTAGTGTTAATTGAGCTGCTACAAACATTGATGTGGCTACATTACTGTAGTATGCTGATTTTAAGTCCTCTGGATATAAACCAAGGACTGGGATAGCTGGGTCAAATGGTAGTTCCATTCCAAGTTTTCTGAGGAATCTCCATATTGCTCTCCATAGCAGTTGCACCAATTTGCAGTCCCACCAGCAATGTATCAGTATATCTTTTCCCCCACATCCTCGCCAACATTTATTATTGCCTATATTCTTTTTTTAATAGTTGTTGATGGATCTTTATTTTATTCATTTTTTATATGCTGTGCTGAGAATTGAACCCAGTGCCTTATTACATGATAGGCAAGCACTCTAGCCACAACCCTAGTCCTGTTGCCTATATTCTTAATGATTGCCATTCTGACAGGAGTGAGATGAAATGTTGGTGTAGTTTTGATTTGCATTTCTCTAATTGCTAGAGATGCTGAACACTTTTTCATGTACTTGACTGATTGTATATCTTCTTCTTAGAAGTGTTTGTTCAGTTCCTTAGACCATTTATTAATTGGGCTATTTGGGGTTTTGGAGAGTTAAGTTTTTGAGTTCTTTATATATCCTAGAGATTAATGCTTTATTGGAAGTGCATGTAGTAAAGATTCTCCCAATTTGTAGGCTCTCTCCTCACATTAATGATTGTTTCCTTTGCTGAGAAGAAGCTTTTTAATTTGAATCCATACAATTTATTGATTCTTGATTTTACTTCTTGTGCTTTAGAAGTCTTGTTAAGGAAGTCAGATCCTAGGTCAACACTGTGAAGATTTTGGGTCTACTTTTTTCTTCTATTAGGCACAGGGTCTCTGTTCTAGTGCCTTAGTCTTTGATCCACTTTGAGTTGATTTTTGTGCAGGGTGAAAGATAGAAGTTTAATTTCATTTTACTACATATGGATTTCCAGTTTTGCCAGAGCCATTTGTTGAAATGGCTATCTTTTCTCCAGTGAATGTTTTTTGACACCTACTGATCTTCCTTCTATTATTTTTTTTTAAATTAGTGCATTATCATTGAATATATGAGTGGAATTTATGGTATGATATTTGTATGTCAACAGCGTAATTTGGTAGATTCCATTCCCCCGTACTTCCCCATTCCCTCTCCTCCTCCCTTTCCCTTGATCCCCTTCTTCTACTCTGTTGGTCTCCCTTCTATTCTCATGAGGTCCCCCTTTTTAAACCCCACCCCTGTTTCCCTAGTTTCTGCATATGAGAAAACACATTTGATCTTGGACTTTCCAAGTCTGACTTACTTCACTCAGCATGATGTTTTCCAGTTTCATCCATTTACCAGCAAATGAAATAACTTCAATGTTTTTTATGGCTGAGTAAAATTCCATTGTGCATATATACTACATTTTCTTAATCCATTTGTCTGCTGATGGGCACCTGGGCTGGTTCTAAAACTTGGCCATTGTGAACAATTCTCCTTTTTTACTATTGCTTACAACAAAATCTAATGGAAAATTGGAAACACCTCAATGGCTATGGTTTGAATGCTTGTATCTCCCAAAACTCATCCATTGAAGCCTAAATCCTTAATATGGCAGTTTTTGGAGGTAGGGCCTTCAGGGTATGATTAGTCACCAGAGTGGAGCCTTCATGAATGGGATTAATGATCTGAAAAGGGACAAAGAGAAGGTGCCCATCCTCGAGCAAGTATGAGGCCTTCACCAGATATCAGATCTGCCTGCACCTTGGTCCTAGACCTCTAGTTTCAAAAATTGTGAGAAGGAAATATTTAAGCTACTCAGTCTGTGATCATTTGCCACAGCAGTCTGAACTAAGCAGAGTTAAGTATCAAATCTCAAACTGTCCAACAAATGAAATGTTTTAAAAAGCAAATTCCATCACAAAGTACATGACAGAAACAGATACTAGATGTGGTTACCAGTTGGATATGTGCTTCAAGTAATTCCGAGAGGGGAGCACACTATACACATTGAACAACCTAACCTGATCTGCACAAAGGCTCAGCTCTATATGGCTCATAATTCACACTATCTTCAGAGCAAGGTAAACCAGGGCTTGTAAAAACAAAAATCCTAAAGATTTGTTTGTCTCTGACTAATCAATTTTAAATTATCCTGCATGATTTACTTTTATTTCCCTTTGAAAGACCCACAAAAGTAAAGGATATGGGGTGGGGGGGGTAGGGAAGAAGAATAGCTGAGTCAATGTTTAAAATGAACCATTCTGTCTTGAATGTCAATCTTGCCTGCAGAAGCAGTTGACCTCACTTTTGGGTAAAATGTGCATATGTGAGTGTGTGTGTTGTCTAGAATTAATAGATATTACAAATAAATAATTTTTCCATTATATCTAAAAAACTAAGTTTTATAGTAAAACCAACTTGCATTGGATTGACATATTTTATCATTAACTATTTAGAAAGTATTTAAAATAACACTTTTAAAAAAACATGAAAACACTCTTTGCTATATCCTACAGAATCAGGACATAGGGGGACATGTATGAGAATATTTATATGATTCTCAAGACCATCACAACCAAAACGAGACCAAAGGTTTACCAGTGTGATGCATAAATGAACTATGGTATGTTTTTATTGATAGAATGCTATGCAGCTATGAAAAAGACGAGTCAAAGCTATACACACAAGCAGAAAGGGCTCGGACTCACACAAGGTGGAAAAGCAGCTAGGGTGCAGCATCAAAGGAGACATGTCTGAGTTTTGCATTTGCATAGACACAATAAATGCATATAGTGTGATACAAATGACACTGTACTATTAGGGGTAGACACACAGTGGTAAAACTCTAAGCAAAAGCAATAATATCATCACCATGCAAGTGAGGCTACAACTCAAGGAAGGAGGTAGGGCACACCAGAGCTCCAGGTACCAGTGACACTCTATTTCTTACTCTGGATGATGGTATGTGGGTGGCCGTCATGTCATGTGACCAGGGTTTTCCTCCTGAACGGTTGAGGCACTGTCGGTCACTGGCTGCTTTTAAGTAGCTGAAGACAGTAGCTCTGATCTTCAGAGTAGTAAAAATGCAGCCAAATGTGTCTTCGTGCATGGATGTGCCTTCCTGCAGCCCCATGGGTGGAGCTATACACACCTGTTCCTTTGTGATATTACTCCTTGCCCTGTTTGGGATAGAATGTTCCATGGAAATGCCCTTTGTATGTCCCCTTCTCTTATTGTGCCCTTCCTAGATGTCAGTCAACCTGCTGACAGTGGACATCATGAAGCTAGACTCAGCCTCTTGAAACCTGACTCCTTGCCTCATTTGAATGACTCCTCCTCAATAAAAGGGTCAACCCACTTGCTCTCTCTCTCTCTCTGTGGACCCTTAAGGTCAGAGGAGCCGTCATAGCACCCCAAAGAAAAAGGTATCTCTATCTCTTGTATGGTTATTTTGCGCAGCCCAGTCAGCCCAGTTCCCCTGGAGTGACCCCTGAGTGTTTTAGTCACAAAACGCGACAGTGGTGGCGCAGCTGTTCCTTTTTATAACCAGTCAATAAACCATACATACACACTTTGTGCACTTTGGGTATAAATGTCACATTCCACACTATGAAAAAAAAGAAGCAAATAAAGAGTGTGGTTAAACAAACACATTTCTACTACAGCGTGATGTGTTGCAATATTAATACAGTTTCACGGGAAATATAATTAGAAATTATTTCACGTTTAGTAAGAAATTTTTGAAGTGACACCATACGTCATA